ATCAAGGAAAGACTAGACAAGAACCAACCCGCGCGACACGAAAAGTTTAGTAGTGTATTATACAAACGTTGAAACCGCTACACAACGGCCTTTGCTTCGAGATTTGAGCATGAAGGCAAGGCAAAAGCACTGCTTTCTTAGCTACGTTTTTTGTCCGCTGATCGGTTAAAAAACGTATTTCATTTTTATTTTATCACTGAAAAACAACTACTGCAAAATGTTTAGCCCATAAATATGATGTGTGCGAAGAAATCATTAAACAATATTTTAATTTGGACCTTCAAAAAGCAGTTAAAAAGAAATGGCTATGAAATTGGGGGGGGGGGGGGGCTAAAGCCTGTTTAGCGCCCCCCTCCCTCTAAATCCGCCCATGGAAGGTTGAAAAGTTTAACTGAGCCACGTGCGAGACGAGAGTAAGACTAAGCGAGACGAGTCTAAGTTAATGTTGCCATTGGATTGGTAGAGAATGCCCAGCCCACGCGACTATTTAATGGACACGTTCGTACTTTAGGCTCGCGCCTGGCGTGAGTCCCAATGATAAACTAGGTCACTATGAATTGGTGATGGCCCTGCGTTGTTATACGCGTGGAATGAGACTAGATTTCAAGTTGTCACTCTAATTGTCATGTGCTGCAATCTTTTAGACCTTCTTTCTTGTAAGATCAGGAAGAAGTTTCGGTAGAAAGTGGATGAGAAAGTGAAGGTCCCGTTATCTCTCTCTATTTGTTGGAATTTGCAATTTCGTTCATGCTGTATGTAGGCTAATCGTCGAAGGGTGACAATATATTTTCGAGGGATCTTTCATTGAATTACAATGTTGAAATCTCTGGATAGACTCGCGGAGCTCACTCTGCGTCAGCCGGACGTACCGTACCGTACAACCGTCGAATCTACCTCCGCTCCGTGTGAGCGCGACGTGACGCTGTCTGATGATTGTCAGTAGCAATGTGAGAGGATCGTGTAAACGATCCATATCGTGTCACTCGTCACGTTATTGCGTGCTCCGTAGATTCGTAGCGTTTGTTGACCATCCACTAACAGTGTGTACGGTCCGACTTAGCAAGTCTAGGTCGTCGGGGGGTTAGTTAAGTGTTCAGTTTGAATACTCAATTTTGTAATTGACACCAAACTTGTTCAAAAGTGAGATAAAATTTGCCCACGGGTTGCCGCACACTTTCTTCAATGCACAAATCACCAACAAATTTATTTTCAACTATTCCAAGAAATATTTCTTCGCAATTTTATAGGCTATACGAAAATTCGGAGAAAAGAATTGAAATTGCATTGCCTTTAGAATCATCATGTATGCAATTACGTGTGTCTGTAAGAAGTTACACGTCATGATTAGCGCTGCAGTATGTGTCATCTACACAGCCTCGAAGCAATCAAATAACAAATTGAAGTATGCAAATAGACCAAGATCTAGAAATCAATCAGAGACTCTTAGAATTTATATTCATTGCATTTTCCATCTTCATAAATATGATGACACACAGAATGATTTCGCAAGCGTTTTGGTCCAGTAGTTATTGTGCTTAAAAACATAGTGAAATATCAATATTTTATGAGAATTAGTTGGGCCTATATTAATTAAGGCACTTTTTTACATATGACTCTATCAAAGATCCCAACTTTTACTAAGTTTTTAAGTAAATTTACATTTACAAACTTTTGTTAGTTATTAAATCCACTCTAAATGACTTAATTATCTTCATCATCCTCGTCGAAATCATTATCATCGACACAAGCCTCATCGCCACCAACAAAAAATCTTCCTCGGTGTCATTTCCAGTCCATCATCTGTATATCACATCACACAACAGAGGTAATTATAGTTAAGTTAGAACATGGTTAGAATTAGCGTTTTATATAATGAACTGTAGAAAGCCATTACAAGATTTTCTAAAATACACTCAAATGAACAAAGTTACGTCATTATCATCGACACAAGTCTCATCGTCACCAACAAAAAATCTTCATCGGTGTCATTTCCAGTTCATCATCTGTATATCACACAACAGAGGTAATTATAGTTAAGTTAGAACATGGTTAGAATTAGCGTTTTTTATAATGAACTGTAGAAAGCCATTACAGAATTTTCTAAAATACACTCAAATGAGAAACATTACGTCATATTGTAGTTTTAATTGCACATGCTTTTTGAAGGTCAGGGTATCTTCAACATTTACCATGCTCGAGTATGTAAAACCACGAGATGGTATAGAGTTGAACTTGCAACAATCCCAGAGTGCTAAATTGTATGTTTGTGCGCCTCCAATATGGCAGCACGCTAATATCTGACATCGCGGTGACTTGAACCTAGAACGGATTTACTGGTCCGTGATCGACACCGTCGTCGACACAGACAGCGCAGATTCGGGTGACAAGCCGCGCAACGTTCGAGAATGGATCATTACGGGGTGTTAATTATTATGACCAATCCGAACGATTCATTTAATAGCTATTAATAAACACATGTCCACACAAGTCTACGTACGTTTACGCTGGTTCTCACACCTTAGCAACAATATCCAAGTGCGGATTTAGACGACAGCGAGAACTCAGAGCCTCGATGATGTACAGATGATTGTGTAACTGCAGTCGTTTTCCATAAACTAATATTTGGTGACTTGCAACTTTATTGTGTTGAAAACGTTCGTTTGACTTGTCAGATATAATGAATTATTATCATATATATTTTGTCATTTATATTTATTTTTATATCTTGATTTAATTTTGTTTGATGCGAAATGAGTACATTCATTTTAAAGCATATTTTTTAAATTTCTCTTACTTAATTCTTATGGCTGTCTTATGGCAATAATCGTCATATTCCATTTTTAGTTATTTTAATCTTAAGTGCTAATGCTTGTAGTAATGCCTTATGTTTTATATTATAATTTAAATTGGTAGTTAAGATGTTTTCAATAATTTGTTCTGTTACATGTTGATGGTCCCTAATGATCAGCTTCTGCTGGATGGATCACCCTCATTAAAAATTAAAAAAAAAATGATCACTGAAATAGCAGTTCTTTAACGTAATGTGAAGCGCTTAGAGGTTTTGTGCATGAAGCGCTATATAAGACCAACATATTATTATATAGCAGATAGATGATTTACCTTATTAATTTCATGCTGACTTTGGTCGGAGGGAAGGCACGGTGACTCAACTCATTATCTTTTATCTCCATGGCGAGTTTACTATGGTAATTTTTTTGCAATGCACTACGCGGACGCCGTAACCTGGTGCGCCAATTCCATTAGTGACGAACAACCTGGAAACACAATGACATTTATTTACATTTTAATTTGCATTTATTGAATGATTTATCAAGTAATTCCGTCTGCATTTCTATCATGTCTGCTCTTTGTTTAGCGATATTGTATAGTCACTTAATAGATGTAAGCCTATCGTTAATTCGTCGCATAGACCTGCTTTTATGAACAGCATACAAACCGATCTATAATAGCAATAACGACAATAACAATAGCCAAAACATTAGGCAAATATAATATTCGCTATATACATACATACATACACGCATACACACATGCATACGCACATACATACACATACATACATACATACATACATACATACATACATACACCCATACATATATACATACATACATACATACACACATACATACATGTGTATATATATATTATTTTTTTTATTGGTATACTAGTTGATATCACAAAGGACATTCATAAAATCAATTTAAATCTCATTTGGAACAAAGAGACGGAAGTATGTCATCAAAGAAACTCTAATAATTGCCGATACCAGAGCTACTCTGGAATCTAAGCACTCTAAAATCAAATATCCGGAAACTCTTGATACTGTCTCTTATACACATCTAGATGTGTATAAGAGTACTGTTCTACGTTGGAAGTCGTCGTCAGAACCACCGCAGTTAACACATAACACTAATCATTAATAATAATAATCCCACTAGTAGCAATAATAATTACGTGTGTTAGATAGGTGGGTGTGCGGCAGCATGCGTGTATTATAGGCTTACGCGTCTACGGGATATAGGTCAATCCTATGTTCGTGTTTGACCTTTGAGGTGCGTGTGGGTTGCGTATGCGCTGTGTGCGGTGAGTGATTATTATTATATGGTAATTTATTTATTTATTCAACAATATTTCAAGATAGGGCTCTTACAGCGAAGTTGACTCAGAGACCCTTATACAGTACACACAAATATATAACAGGGAGGTAAACGTAAAAATACTATAAGAAAAAAATAAAATCCCTATTACATCAACAAACAATCAATCAATTAAAAGGTAATAAACAATTTCAGACACCGTTTAAAAAAATACACGGCAAGACTTTAAAAATTAATCTGAGATTATAAACTGCTAACAGAGACATCGCAAAAGACAGCAAAGAATTTAGAAAAAAGAAGCTAGGCATATGCAACATATATCGTAGGCAGAGACCCAATTTTGAAATGAAAACTGTAAAAAAAAAATTGCAAATGCGGGCGTGGAAAATGTATCATTTGGTAAAGCCTGAAAAGCCAATAGACTTCAATTGGTCAAAAGACGATAGATTTAATTAATATAATATAATTGCATGATTATGTTACACAATGGAGGTATAATACTTCAATTGTTAATGGTCACTATCTGAAAATAGGTATTATGATTGACCATGAAAATAATGCCACAGATCGCAAACACCAATGTGTAAATAATATACCACAGGCCTTAGGCATACTGGTACAGTTGTAATAAAACAAATTGCATGAAGTGAATAAAACTATTTAACTGATACGAACATTTTAAAGCTGATATGAACCGATATCGACTATTAATCACTATAACTTTTGTTATAGTGACTACACTGTCCAATGTTCATGTTCATGGGCAAAACTTTCATATGCCTCTTATCTACCCCTCGGGCTTCTCTACTCGTCAAGCTGCCAGATGCACAGATGGCATCATCAAATTATCAGCACCACAAAAAACTTTCATTAGTCTGGTAAGATATCGAAATCTACTTTATCCATGTTCAGTGCCAGAAGTACCATGTATTTCCTACTGGTCTATCGTGGTTGTTTATGACCAGTTCGATACAATCAGTTCTGAGTACAAGACTTATTTTGATACCAGTGGAATTAAAAACGTTACAGGCCACTATACCATAAATTGCAATCACAAAGCCCCAGTTGTACCTCGATTAACCCCATGGTACCATCAATCTTAAACCCTAGGCAATTCATTTTCGTATATGTGTTTTTTTAATAACAAAGGATATTAAAAGTAGCGAACTCCGTAACATCACAATAGAACAAAGAGATTAAGAGAGTAAAAGTGATTACTTTGGCCGACATGAAAGTGTAACTAGTATGCCTAACCATGGAGGTGTCTTTAAATCATTGGTGTCCCGTACCGTACACATCTAGTTGATATCACAAAGGACATTCATAAAATCAATTTAAATCTCATTTGGAACAAAGAGACGGAAGTATGTCATCAAAGAAACTCTAATAATTGCCGATACCAGAGCTACTCTGGAATCTAAGCACTCTAAAATCAAATATCCGGAAACTCTTGATAATTATGAATTAAATAACGGATTCTTCCTGATGAAAATTAAAAACAAGGAAACCACACGGAATTGAGAACAAGACATAAAACAAATTTTAATGACGTTGAAATTACAACAAGCACGTATTATATACATGAATAAAACATATTAAAATCTTAGAAAATAAAGTTTACGATAAAAATAGGTCTTGAACAATTGTATACCTGTAGCTTTGTAAAAAAAAAAGGCTCTCGCAGAGAGGCCTACTGCTACATAATGTTGAAAGGGAGTGTACGATGTATGCTTCTATTGATAATTATTCTGAATAATATTTGTACTTTATGTTTGAGCCTTACATGGTTTATTAATAAAATTCTAGTTAATTTATTATGAACATGTAAGTTAGTTCTTGTTGGTTTTGCTTAGGCCTGATTATTTTCTTATTTTTTGCAATGTATAGGCCTATTGCTATAATTTAGTTATACATATGTTTTCATAGTATGATGTATTGGATGATTCTTTGAAGTATTGTATGCTACTGGATGTGTCAAAATCAAGTAAGTTGAAAGGTCTGGGAATATAATGTGTTTACTACACTTTACTGTACGACGAAACCCGAAATCCGAGGATCCGAAACCAACAACAACAACTTGGCCTTCGGATGACATCACTTTTCGATCGACTACAGCATAGAGTACAGTATCCTGCTATAAATAGCAGTACTGTATACTCAAAAACCAACTTTCATTACTACTTAAGTACAGTATTACTTAAGATAAACATGGAATGATAGCAAAAACGACGATCAACGATGATGATGAAGATGCTGATAATGATCATATAATAAAATAGGGTCTTGAACATTGTATACCTTTATCGTAGCTTGTAAAAAAAAACCCAACTTTTATTACTAGTACTTAAGTAATACTTAAAAGGGACATAAAATGATAGCAGAACCGACGATCAACGATTATGATAATGATGATGGTGATAATGATGATAACGATGATGATAATGAGAATGATAATGATGGATGATGATAATGATGGATAATGCGGTGGGTAATGATGAAAATGATAATGTTACATTTGCTTCATCATTGTCTATTTGATGTGTTATGAATCGTGTACATTATGTGGATAGAAGTGTCAATGATTATGAATTAGTATTTATTGATCCATACTGTTTTAAAAATCGATACTGATGACATAAAAACAAAAGAGGTGCATTACAACACAAATATTGTATTAAGGGACATAACCTGTACAATGATTATGCTGATAACATACACAGAATGAGTTCAAATTAGATAGTGAAATAGCGTTCTACTCATAAGCATGAACATAACACACTCTGTAACAGCATGATACATATTTGTAACACAATCATGATAAAACTGTAGCACATGATACATACTAAAACACATGATACATAATGTAACAGTCAAATACTTTAGTAAGTGTATATAGGATACACACAGTATTCAGAGAAACTAGTCCAGGATAGCCTCTACAATCAGTCAAATAAAAATAACAAATTTAAACTTAGATACTAAAAATTTAAATTGAAATTAGTTAATTAATACATTGAAAGAAGTGTACAAAATGGTAGACCTATGAAGTTTATTTATTCATTTATTTTTTTGTTTTAACTTTAAGTAAATTCTACTGCAGGCCTATGTACATAGAACCAGAGTCAATGGAAAACTGAAAAAAAAAAATATAGAGAATATAGGTCAGCAACACCCACGATAGACAAAACAAGCAGAGACAAAACAAGCAGGCAGGTAACATGTCAAATTTTAGTTCGGAATGTTAACCTTGGAAATGCGAAATATACCGTATTTGGTTAGGTAGGATAGGAGTATTTTTGGTGTGAAACATAATCAAGCTCAGTGCGTCCAAGGAATTATTTTCAGCGAGTCCCAATACAATAGTATAATACATGACTAAAATGACTAAAATGAATGATAGATGTGTCATGCAATGCCGTAGCCAGGATTTTCAAACAGTGCGGGACAATATCAGGGTGGACCAACTTTATATTTTTAAGCTAAATGTAAGAAATCTGGACCCATTTTTTCAAAAAGTCGACTCATTTTATGCATAAAATTGCATAATTTGGACCCATTTAAAAAAATTGGACCCATTGTTTGTGGACCCCTTAGAAAAAGTGTGTGGGACTGTCCCAGTAGCTGGCTACGGCATTGGTGTCATGTCATAAATGGTATTTCCAAAATGTGCTCGAAAATTGACAGCTCACCTGTGTCGAAGGAAAATAAAGATTTTGATTTTGTACTGAGCCACAAGAGAAACTGATTAAAGGTGGTATGTATATATATATATATATATATATATATATATATATATATATATATCATGATATAATAGAGATGAACTCTACACCGTCTTGCGGTACCGTAATGCTATAAGTATAATATATAAACGTTAAAAAAGAGGAATCTGCGAGTGTGAAAAATAATCTTATCAAACTATCAACAGACACAACGGCTGTAATTTATTTTAAATATATTACTGTATGCTCACGAACATTTTCGACCACAGGTTACCCTCACAAGGGTTCTATAGGCTATAAAATAGTAAATGTTAAGGCGTCTGCATAGAAAGCAGTAGATTCCGGGTTCTAATCCTGATTGGGTAGATTTTTTTTCTTGCACTCGCAAATTCTTCTTAAACATTTAATATATAGAAACAGTACTCGTATTAT